ACAGTTGATACAGCTATTTTAATACCTTGTACGTCTTGAGGCAATGTGAAAATTAGTTTATTTATGTAAAGTTAGTTAATGATCCTTACGGAATACAATATTAATCTAGCTGTATCACTGTAGTGATTCTATTTATCTACAGATTGAAAGCCATTAAGCCACCGTTCAATTATATATAACCTACTTGGCTTCAAGTGTATCTCCCTTATTAAAGAAATATTTTTAGTTTGTTTAAAAAAAAACCGATTGCACACACTGTCATCAATCAATAGAAATGAAGTTTTATTAAATTTTGTTTATATTTAATTTTATTTTAAAACAACTTAAAGTACCTTATTTGGTCGCTCAATTGCAGCGACTTAAGTTTTTGAAAAAATCCTCAAACGTCAGTCCTTTGACATGTCACAATCCCAAAAACGTTCAATTAATTGGCCGTCTATTGAAGATTACCATTATCACATTTTGTGAAGACTGAGCATGTAATGTCTGCCGGCGACGATTGTCGAACCTCAATTGTCGTGATTTCTCACTTAATCTTTCCCATTGATCAATCTCCCCCTTGTTCAGCTGCTCTACAATAACCACAGGTTTGCTCTAAAGATTATTGTCATCAGGTTTTACATTGTAAGCTTCCAAACTAGCCAAGTTTATAGTAAGGTTAGATGTAGGTTGGTGATAGGTAGATGTAATTCATACGTCAGGCTGATCTTTAAATTGCACTCGTCGGTTTTTCCTAGGATTTTGGTTTTTGGACAGTCGATTCTGATTATCCTCGAAAACATTGGTCTCATAGTAATTTATGAAGTCAAATCCTTCTTCGTACGGTGGTGACGTTATGTCATCAAGACTTGTCTAGAAATATTAAAAAAAAATATTTGATAAATTTTAGAAAAGTTAAGGCAATAACACGAATTACGAAGAACTACAGCATTCGATTACTAGAAAAGTAGGCATTAGATGATTACGAAAATTTGAGGTTTTGCTAAAACTGAAAGAAGCGACTCGGCTAAAACATTTTCAAAATAGTGGTATTTGTGGTTACACAGTAGGTTGGAACCAATTTGCTTCCTATAAACGGGACTCTGTATATTATTCGCTTTTTGGATTTAATATATATATATATATATAATATATACAGGGTGGCACATCCATGTGAGGACGAAATAGTCCTAAGCAATTGTCAAAGAAAACTAATAATGGGTTATTATACATGACATTTGGTGGCACATTTCTGAAATGCTCAGAATTATACAGGGTGTGTCAATTGTGATCAACATAGCATTGATTTTTTAGTGGAAATGTCCAATTTTTTATAATATATTGACTGCTATGACCATTCACATATCTAAAGAGAAGGCAAATACTGAAGTTTTGTGAAAAGTACTGTTTAAACGAGAGTTCATTCTTCAGAATGTTAGAAACAATAACTTTCTATATTTAAATAATAGCTTATTATCGGCAAATAACATATGTCACACACTGGAGTAGATGATGGGCTACTCTGGACACCCCCCACCACTTCCACTTTTGGCCACGCTCACCGCGTGCTCTGATTGTCGGATCAGACGGCGGGAAATTTGAACGGGGTTGATGGTATATGTTGATTGGCGGGCCCCGCTAGATGGCGCACCCAACCGGAAGTGATTCAGACAGCCGACGATAGTAAGGTGTAGTATACAGGGGAGCCAAGAATGTTTTATATAGGGTGAGTCAAAAGGTAGGCTATCGCGTGTGTGCGCGCGTGCGCATGCACATGTGCATGGGGCTCGTTCTGGCAAGCGTACTACTGGGGGTAGGAGGAGGGGGTGTAGATAGCGTATGTGTCGTTCGTGATAGGTGTTGGGTAGGTGATTAAAGTACACCTATAGGCGTTCCCGACCACATAAATAGCATGTGAAATTGTACCGTAAAACTTATATGTAGGCGTTCCCAACCACTACACGTTCTGGACCAAAGTACGTTCTAGACCAGTCTCTCTAGACCAAAAGTCATTCTAGACCAGTAACTCTAGATCAAAACACCTATAGGCGTACTGGACCACCTAAAAATAGCATGTGAAATTGTACACCTCACCCCCCGTAAAACTTATAGGCGTTCCGACCACTACACGTTCTGGACCAAAGTACGTTCTAGACCAGTCTCTAGACAAAAAAGTCATTCTAGACTGACACCCCCCACCACTTCCACTTTTTGGCCACGCCCACCACATCCACTGCGTGCTCTGATTGGCGGATCAGACGGCGGGAAATTTGAACGGGATTGATGGTATATGTTGATTGGCGGAACCGCTAGATCCACCGCGTGCTCTGATTGGCGGATCAGACGGCGGGAAATTTGAACGGGGTTGATGGTATATGTTGATTGGCGGGCCCCGTTAGATGGCGCACCCGACCGGAAGTGATTCAGACAGCCGATGATAGTAAGGTGTAGTATAACGTCTATGCGTAAGTGATGTGACTCATTTCATGTTTTGCGGTAAATATTTGCATATAGATCGATAAAAGCCGATGAATAATGGTAATTATAGATGCAATTCTGCGGATTCAGTTTAAATGGAAAAACGTATAAAATTCGCGGGAAACAATGCGTATAGGATGATCTCAATAGTCAACACGTCATATTCAGTGTGCATATAAAAATGGAATTGCTCATATGTGGTGCATACAGTTAATGTTAGTTAATTTTTAACATTGATACAATATTGAAAACATAGTACAGTCTATATTGTGTTTCTAATAAATTCAACAAGGCAATCACCTACGTCGCAAATGAGGTTAGGTTCAGCGCAGGTGTTGTCGTAGCGGTGATATGCAAGAAGTACCGGGCGGGGCTGTTAAGCATGGGTGAATGGGCAGGAAGCGCAGGCTGTCAACGAGTTATACCGGCCAGCGGTGACCTTGGAACACTGTGGTCAGTTAAAAAGTGGTGGGGGTAAAATCGAGATTATAAATACCTATGAATCACCGCAAATTATCTTGTCAGTTATCTGCAGCGAACAGACGTGCTCAGTTCAGATTTAGACGCTAGTTAACGTTTTAGTTTTAAAAAATGGAAAAAATCTTCATCGTTAAGGATTCTACTAAGAAGATTAAAAAATTTAATCTATATGGGCGAGAAGTGGAATTTAAAATACGACCTATCCCTAAAGACGTCGAACCTGTGGGATGGATCAAAGACGCTCTGGAGGAAATAGTAGCCAAAGGAACTGAACATCTCCAGCCCAGTGATCAAGTTGGATTCACTTTCTGTTCCAAAGACTTTACCCGCGGTCAAGGATGGATAGCTTTTAAATCGTTTTCCGACGTTTCAACTGAGGACATATGGGAGAAGATATCTTCCATCTATCAGTCAAATTCTGTGGGGTTGAATACCGAGACTTTTTGCTTGGGAGTTACGTCCGTAAGGTTGCCTGCTGGTCGTGGTAGAGGTCAGAATTTCAATACCTTTGATGAGGAATGCGCCAAAAGAAAAGGCATTATCACCGTTAAAAACACCGATAATTTGTGTCTCCCACGAGCCCTTGTCATCGCCATGGCCCAGTTGAACAAAGACAAAGATTATAGTAGAATCCGCCTCGATCGAGGAAAAATACAAGGACAAAGAGCTGTACAACTTGTGGAAAAGGCTGATATTGTTATCCCTGAGGAGGGGTGTGGAATACCTGAACTTCAAAAGCTACAACGATATCTGCAAAACTACAAAATTGTTGTATACAAGTTTGGGTGCAAAGGTCGTGACGTCATTTTTGAAGGCGTGTCCACTGGTCCGATGCTTAACCTAATCTATCACGAGGGGCACTACAGCGTCATAACATCCCTGACTGCTGCCTTTTGCTGCAGCTATTTTTGTGAGAACTGCCACATTCCGTATAACAATAAACAAATTCATAGATGTGATAAACAATGTTATACTTGTAAAAGATCTCCGGCCTGCCTGAAAACGAAGCACATCGAATGCAAAGAATGTAATAGAAGCTTTTATGGACAAGAATGTTTTAACGCTCATTTACCATCGATCTGTTCTAAAATTAAAAGATGTGTAGACTGTTTTAAAGTTCACAACGGTAATGATCACATCTGCGGACATATACTTTGTAAAACATGTCATAAAAATCAGCCAATTGGACATATGTGCTATATACAGCCTGACAAAAGTATTCCTAAATCAGATGATGTTTTATTAATATTTTACGACTTGGAAACCCGTCAGGAGAAGGAATTACCCAATGGATCTTTACTTCATGAGCCAAATCTATGTGTATTCAAACAATGTTGTGAATCATGTACCGATAATCCTATATGCAAGAAATGTGGCCTTCGATTACAGATTCTTCCATGTCAAGACGTCATTTCTCCATTTATGCATCATATTCTGACACTTCGTAAAAAATTCAAGAAAGTTATTGTACTGCCGCATAATGGCGGAGGATTTGATCACCAGTTTCTACTTCGTTACATTTTAGAAAAGACTAGTCTATACCCGAATGTAATTATGAGAGGAACAAAATTAATATTGATGGAGGTAGGAAATGTAAAATTTCTGGATTCTCTCAATTATTTCCCTATGCCTCTAACTGCTCTACCCAAGGCGTTTGATTTGAAAGAGCTAAAGAAAGGATACTTTCCACATTTATTCAACACTTTGGCTCATCAGAATTATGTAGGCCCAATTCCAGCGCTCAACTTCTACGATCCCGACCATTTAAAAGAAGACGCTCGGGAAGAATTATTAAAATGGCATGGCGAAAGACAAGCGGAGGGATACGTTTTTGATTTTCAGAAAGAAATCGTTGAATACTGTATCTCCGACGTGGAAATATTGACACAGGCGTGTCTCAAATTTCGAGACCTGATGAAAACCGAAACCACAGTCGATCCCTTCCAGGAAAGCACCACTATTGCATCATGCTGTAACAAAGTCTTTAGACGCAATTTTTTAAAACCTGAGACGATCGGGGTAATTCCAAAAGGAGGCTATAGATGGCGTGAAAATCAGTCAAAAATTGCCATTCAATGGATGTTGTGGGAGGAACATCAAAGAGGAATCAAAATTCAACACGCCGCTAAGGGTATAGAAACCATTGTTAAGGAACATAAAGTAGACGGTTTTTGTAGCGACACAAATCAAGTGTTTGAATTTCAAGGATGCTATTTTCACGGTTGCCCTCAATGTTTCAAATACAACAGAACCAATTCTCTGCGTAATGATCCGTTGAATACATTAGAAAGTCGATACGAACAATCAGTTAGCAAAGTAGAGAGACTCCGAAGCCTTGGACTAGAAGTAATTGAGATATGGGAATGTCAATTTCGAGGGATGCTAAACGGTGAAATTAGAGCGTTCACAGAAGCACATCCATTGATAATCAATTTACCGATTAACCCCAGAGACGCTCTCTACGGGGGACGTACAGAAAATATCGTTGAATACTACAAGATCAAAACAAATGAATGCATAAAATATGTCGATATATGTTCCCTCTACCCCTTCATCTGTAAATATGGAAAATTTCCGGTGGGTCATCCAAAAAAATTTACGTAGGTGAAGAATGTGTTACAGCCTCTCTGTCGCAGATGTCAGGACTTATTAAATGCCAGATTCGACCGAACCAGAACTTATATCACCCCGTTTTACCGTTAAAAGTGAACAACAAATTGATGTTTGTTAACTGCCAAAAATGTGGTAAAAATTTCGTTCGAGAAGAGTGTCACCATTCTATTCAAGAAAGAAGCATAAAAGGAACTTGGGTGATAGAAGAGGTGCTCAAAGCTATTGAAAAAGGTTACCAGATTATAGAGACTTACGAAATATGGGAATACGACACAATTCAGCTCAGTAAAGACCAAGAGGGGTTATTTAGCGGAATGATGAACAAGTTTCTACAAATAAAACAACAAGCTTCAGGATGGCCTAAACATTGCTTAACGGATGAAGAAAAAACCATTATATTGATGCATTTTTGGATAGAGAGGACATAAAGCTGGAATTTTCAAAAATTATAGAGAACCCCTGTTTGAGATCGTTAGCTAAACTTATGTTGAATTCTTTTTGGGGTAAATTTGCTCAAAAGAAAACCAAAACAAAACCTCAATAGTCAGAGACTGTGGTGAATTCTTTGATATGCTGACTAATCCTTCTATTCATGTAAATACAGTTCTCTCAGTAAACGAAGAAACCCTTCTCGTAACTTGGGAATTTAGAGAAGAGGCCTATGACGTTTCTTCAACGGTTAACGTTGTATTGGCTTCATATGTTACGGCCCTAGCTAGACTAAAATTATATTCATTCTTGGAGAAAGTGGAAGAAAGGGCAGTTTACGTAGATACAGATTCATGTATTTATATCTCTCGTAAGGGATTAGACGACATATCTACAGGCGACTTCATAGGTGATATGACCGATGAGCTCAATGGGGGTTTCATATCAGAGTTTGTTTCTGGAGGACCTAAGAACTACGCCTACAAATATACTACTTTGTCTGGAGAGGAACAGATCGTATGTAAAGTAAAAGGCATATCACTCAACTACAAGGCATCCCAAGCGGTCAATTTTGAGAAAATAAAAGACATGGTGCTGAAGAAATCTGATCCTGTTCCTGTACTTTCTCGACAGCTACGACGTACAAGAGAGCATGCAGTAGTAACAGTCGAGTTTCCTAAGGTATACAAGATAACTTCAATGAAAAGGAAATTCTATGAAGATCATACCTCTGTACCATTTGGATTTAAGAAAATAAAATATTGATTTGTTAATGTATGTAAATATTTTTTAATAAACATGTAAAATAAAATGTATGCAAATGATTTTTTGTTTTTTTATTTCCCGTCTAATTGAAAAATATTTTTGCACCCGAAATTGTTGAGCCTTTTTACTCCATATAAAAATATTTTAAAGTATGCATTGTTATTATTAAACGCCTGCAGTAATATACACCAAAATAAATTGAGAAGCAGTATAACCATGTAGAACTTTGTATAATCACAAAAAAACATACCTTGAAAAGCAAAAATACAGCAGATTCATAAGCAGTATAGAGAGGGAAGTACGTAAAAGTAATCGATTATTACTAATAAAATAGAGTTTTGAATTCCTATTTTTGCAATAATAATCATTTTACTATTTTACGTGTTGGGCACTGCACTGCACGGGTACCAACACTGTACTGCACGGGCACGAAAAATTGAGAAGCATGATAACCATGTAGAACTTCGTATCACTACGTAAAGAATAAAATGGTTATTACGAAAAGTAGAAATAAAAACTCTATTTTCGATAATAACTATACTATTTTTATGAGCACCGAAAAAATTGAGAAGCACGATAACCTCGTAGAACTTCGAAACAGCACCAGAGACAACCGAAGGCTACAGAAAAAAAAACACATACTGAAAAGGCATAACATCTATCAGCGCTGGTATCCGATAATACTGTTTCCTTTGACATTCGTTGGGATATGAAAACACATATTTCCTTCCCACCGTTATAACGGAAATATTGGTTACTGCAAAAGCAGTTTCACGATAAGACCATAAATTAATCTACAAAGTCGATAATAAAACATATGTACTATTAAAATGCAGATATTTTAAAAATTATACAATTAAAAAATCAAAGTCAGCCGTCTGGACAATTTACCAGTGGGTCCTCTATTTTTGTGCATGTAAAAGGTTAGACTATGGCGCTAGCAAAAAAAACAAAATGCAACAAAGTAGAGTCACTTAATATTCTTGTAGAAATTACGGATATAATATGGTAGAAAGTAACAATCAGATATTGTAGAAGCCATGTAATTATTTAATTGTTGAGGAAACAGTATTTTTCATACGCTGAACATGTTTATGTCCGCTTGGTACGCGACCAGATTTTTTCCAAACCTTTGCCCGTTGGGTTCATGAGCCGACGACCAAATGTGTCGTCGAAGGGGCATTTTTGGACAAATTCGGTCGAAACCGATGCTGCGTTCGTACCCTAGAGCCTACGGACAACGACTTAATTTTAATTGATTTGCAAAGATCTTGCTAGAATACTTGAGCTAATGATTATATGCAATTTATCGGTGACGAGCTTTCCTCTAGCATATCTTGATTTATTCAAGCGAATCAATGAGAAACTAGTGAATAAAATTACCTGACAGCCATAGTACAAGTTGGTATATCTACACCTTCTTCTCTTACATTTGGCGCCACTAAAATGTTAATCTCCTTGTTTCTAAAAACGATCAAGTACTTGCATGTTCTTCTTATGAATCAGAAGTGATTATACGGTGCTATTAAAAGAGTTTCCGTTATATCCCACAACGAAATCCGGCTTTATATGTCTGAACTCTGGTACATGTTTACTCAAATCTTTCAGTACATGGTGCAATATTTTTGGCAGTTGATCTTTCCTTCGTGAATACTAAACCACAAATTTCCTCGTTTGAATATGAACTGTTGAAAAAAAAAGTGTCACGTGTATATTAGTATTAATATGTATGACATTTACTTTTTAAAAATAGTTAAATACTACGATAAACTGGGAATGTGGGATGAAGCAGAAATGTTTCTGTAACCCAATTTAGGTATGTATAGCAAGTCTTACGCAAGATAATAAAACAGATATAATTCGAGGGCGATTCTTGGAAGAAAAATTCATAGTATTTCTAAGGCAGAAAGTATACTGAATGCAACACCGACCGTAGTGCTGTAATTTTAAGCATACATTTACATGTTTTAGGTGTAATGATAAATAGAAAGTGATTAACATTTTAACTTCAATTTTCGTAAAATACCTGAGATATGCCATCTTGCAGTAGCCTGGAATGAAATACCCTACAGGTTATCGATCACCTGATAGTCTGTGGTTGTCGTCGGTAGATAGCGCTACATACAAACGTCATCTGTCAAACGTTATGTATATCATTGATAAGTGTGAGTTGTGTCTCTAAGCGCTTGATGCTGTCGATGTCGCACTGGTGTCGTAGAGTGACCCACATACAGGTCGATAGAAATTTTTGGGGACCCTATCGACGGGCCGATGTACGACAGTATATCGTCAGACCGAAATAAGCTCCATTCACATGGGAGGTGTGTGTAGAACTGCTCGTGGGAGACACGGACCTTGTCGTATATAGCAAGACGTGTCCTAAAATGGTGCTACCCCATTGCTCGCTCCGCCATACAGGTCGGTCAGACAGAAGTTTTTGGGACCGGAGTGCTCTGACTGGTGGATCAGACTGCGGGAAATTTGAACGGTGTTGATGGTATAGTTGAATGGTGGACGGCGGGTCGGATGCGTTGGTAATCACCTACGTCGCAAATGAGGTTAGATAGATACTCGTTCAGCGGAGGTGTTGTCGTAGCGGTGATATGCAAGAAGTACTGCGCGCGGGGCTGTCAACGAGTTAATACTGGCCAACGATAACAGCGGTGACCTGAAAACGTTCTGGACCAAAGTACGTTCTAGACCAGTCTCTCTAGACCAAAAGTCATTCTAGACCAGTCACTCTAGACCAAAGTACAAAAAAACGCCGTTTTTCAACGCCTTTTTGTCACCATCCCCCTTAGTAGCGCGCGGGCGTACTACGGGGGTGTGGATAGCGTTTGTGGTGAGGGCCAGCACCAGCAGAACGAGCCCCATGCGCATGCGCACGCGCGCGCGCTACTAAGGGGGATGGTGACAAAAAAGCGTTGAAAAACGGCGTTTTTTTGTACTTTGGTCTAGAGTGACTGGTCTAGAATGACTTTTGGTCTAGAGAGACTGGTCTAGAACGTACTTTGGTCCAGAACGTTTTCAGGTCACCGCTGTTATCGTGGGCCAGTATTAACTCGTTGACAGCCCCGCGCGCAGTACTTCTTGCATATCACCGCTACGACAACATCTGCGCTGAACGAGTATCTATCTAACCTCATTTGCGACGTAGGTGATTACCAACGCATCCGACCCGCCGTCCACCATTCAACTATACCATCAACACCGTTCAAATTTCCCGCCGTCTGATCCACCAGTCAGAGCACTCCGGTCCCAAAAACTTCTGTCTGACCGACCTGTATGGCGGAGCGAGCAATGGGGTAGCACCATTTTAGGACACGTCTTGCTATATACGACAAGGTCCGTGTCTCCCACGAGCAGTTCTACACACACCTCCCATGTGAATGGAGCTTATTTCGGTCTGACGATATATATGTACTGTCGTACATCGGCCCGTCGATAGGGTCCCCAAAAATTTCTATCGACCTGTATGTGGGTCACTCTACGACACCAGTGCGACATCGACAGCATCTAGCGCTTAGAGACACAACTCACACTTATCAATGATATACATAACGTTTGACAGATGACGTTTGTATGTAGCGCTATCTACCGACGAGAACCACAGACTATCAGGTGATCGATAACCTGTAGGGTATTTCATTCCAGGCTACTGCAAGATGGCATATCTCAGGTATTTTATGAAAATTGAAGTTAAAATGTTAATCACTTTTATTTATCATTACACCTAAAACATGTAAATGTATGCTTAAAATTACAGCACTACGGTCGGTGTTGCATTCAGTATACTTTCTGTCTTAGAAATACTATGAATTCTTCTTCCAAGAATCGCCCTCGAATTATATCTGTTTTATTATCTCGCGTAAGACTTACTATACATACCTAAATTGGGTTACAGAAACATTTCTGCTTCATCCCACATTCCCAGTTTATCGTAGTATTTAACTATTTTTAAAAAGTAAATGTCATAAATATTAATACTAATATAAACGTGACACTTTTTTTTTCAACAGTTCATATTCAAACGAGGAAATTTGTGGTTTAGTATTCACGAAGGAAAGATCAACTGCCAAAAATATTGCACCATGTACTGAAAGATTTGAGTGAACATGTACCAGAGTTCAGACATATAAAGCCGGATTTCGTTGTGGGATATAACGGAAACTCTTTTAATAGCACCGTATAATCACTTCTGATTCATAAGAAGAACATGCAAGTACTTGATCGT